AAGGTGGGTGCAGGGGAAGGCAGGGCCATTGAGCCTCTCCTGCCTGCGTCCAGCCCCGCAGAGATGATGATGGTGGCACTGCCCAGCCTGGCGTTGGCTCTGCTCTGCCTGCTGCGGGTTGGGGCCGAGGTCCTGGTGCAGCCGGGGTTCAGCGCTGAGAAGGTAACGCACAGGGTGCCCACCCCGGGGGCTGCTGGGGACAGGGTGCTGCATCCCCAGGCACCCCCAGGCACCACCAGGTCCCAAACCTGGTCACCAGGGCAGCTGCCAGGAGGGTGTGGGTGCCTTTGCAAAATGGGGTCAGTCCTGGCCAGCTCCTGTCTGCTGTGGCCAGGCCCAGCGGTGGCCGCACTGCAGGGACACTGACACCCAGGGACCGTGATGTCCCCAGGGGTGCAGAGCTTCCCCAGGGAACATGGGCCAGGCGCTGCACCCACCCTCCTGCATGGGGTAGGGCAGGATGCTCTGCATGCAGGTGGCAGGTCCCCACCACAGGCTGGCAGGTCCCCCATGGTGGGTGCCAGGTCCCCCATCACAGGCTGGCAGATCCTTTATGGAGGGTGAAAGGTCCCTCATGGTGGGTGACAGGTCCTCCTGGAAGGTCCCCATGGCTCTCCCAATCCCCACCGGTGATGTCCTGCCGCAGTTTGCAGGGACGTGGCACGTTGCAGCCGCCGTTTCCAACTGCTCCGTGTTCCTGAACATAAAGGATGGGATGAAGTCGTCCATTGCCACCATCAGTTTCACACCAGAGGGGGACCTGGCCATGACGCTCATCTGGTCCCAGTGAGTGCCCGTCCTTGCCGTGTCCCACCCAGGGCAGGGGACTCCCTGCCCTGACAGAGTGGCTGGGTGAGGGGCACCATCCCACGGCCCCCTGCCCTGGCGCATCCCCTGGGCAGGCTGTGGTCCTCACCACCCCACAACCTCGCTGCCCTCCTGCATGGCATCCCAGTCACGTTTGCCGTTTCCATTTTCCCTTTCCAGGATGGGCACATGCCAGAAGTTTAAGCTGCTCTTCCAGCAGAGCGGGCAGGTGGGACACTACATAGGTACGTGAGGGCAGGGGGGGCTCAGAGCCATGGGCACCCTGAAACGGAGCAGGGACCGGTCCCCCATGCCCAGGGAGCCACGGGAGGTGGGTTTGACCCCGGATGTGCCATGAAAGGTCCTGGATCTTGCAGGGGTTCCCTTCTCATACCCTTCTTAGGCAAATTTGGGGCTCGCACCCTGAGTCATGAGCCCCAGTGGGGGCCATGGAGGTGCCTTGGCTGTTGTCACCCATCCAAAGGGCTTGTGCCCCTTTGCTGCCAGCCCAGGGAAGATGGGGGGGTGCACAATATCCTCCCTCCACCTCCATGGCTTCGCTCCTACCCTTCCCTGGGATCCCATCGCTGCCCCATGGGAGTCAGACCCCCAACGTGGGGCTCACTGCCGGGTGCCCCCACACTCACCAGCTTTGGGTGTCTCTGCAGCGCGGGAGCAGGACGTGACCCCCCCAGCTCCTGCAGAAGTTCAAGGCGCTGATCCCCACCATGGGGCTGAGCAAGGACATGCTGGGAATCCTGCCCAAATGGGGCGAGTGCTGGAGGCACACACAGCCCCT